CAGTTATTGATACAAATGTGTTTAGTGTTGGTATTAGTTTCTTGTCCGCCGAAAATTTTAAATTGTACCTAGATTGATTACTTTGGATTTACTGTTAATATTGTTATCTCCCCACAGCATGTTTCCCCTCACATACTGTTAGTTGCCTTGTACTTCGATTTCTGCTGTATATTTATAATTGCACAGGTTTATGTGAGGTCCAGTCTAGCCTCGTCACTACTTTGCCGGGGTTAGGCTAGGCACTTACCAGCACATGGGTCGGTTGTGCTGATGCTACACTTTGTGCGTTTTTGCATTGGTCCAGGTATTGAGCAGCAGCAACAGCATTAGCACGGGGGCGAACCTTCAGTCCAGGGAGACCCGAGGTAGCTTGCAGGCGTCCGCAGGCCCGGCGTCTCCCTTCTATCTTTATATTTGGCTGTCATCTCATTGTACCTGAGATAAACAGATTATGTTTCTTTCAGACTTTGTATGTAGTACTCCTTAGATGTTCGTGAGTATGTGACTCCAGTCCCGGGGTAGAGACGTATGTTGGAATTTTTGTATTTTATTCAGTTATATAATTTAAGTCTTTCGCTAATGATTTTAATTCCATCACCTTTATTTAATGCCGTTAATTGTTAAAAAGGAACATGTGTTTAATGAATTTGTTAATTAAGTTGGCTTGCTTAGCTCCTATTAGTAGGCGCCATCACGACCCTCGAGGGTGGGAAATCCGGGTCGTGACAACAATAATTTCTTTTGTACATACACTAAGATGATAATCTTAACCAAATTGAAGTAAGAAAATTTACCCTCTGAATTGAAAAATAATGCCTTCAACAAAAGCCTTTGAATCTCTGTTTGGTCCTATAATTTATTGATACTACTATATACAAAGAGCATTAAGAATTTGATTTATTTTCATATGAAACTGTTTCTTGTCCTCATGTAGTGCCTTACAAGCATTCAAGTTTCTACACTAGACTAAATTGTTTGCTATAAGATTAATAAAATACTTATTCATCTAATGAGAATCCATGTTTGTACTAAATTAAAAGTAACATAAATTTTTTTTTGTTTCTTCCCTTAGTTAACAAAATAATCACTAATATTATGCTAAGTATGAGTAAAGGAAATCTCATATAGATTACCATGGAAAACAAAATTAGAATTCAATTACCTAACTTATTCTCCTCCTCCGTAAATCCGTTTGCTAGAAAAGAGCAACCCAACTTTGTGATTTTTGTCTTCGATGTTTCTGTTCGTTTTTTGCTTCTACCGAGTTAAATAGCTTGACCCCAATTCCTTTGTTTAGTTAACGTGGGGCTTTGACCATAATTCATCTCTTATTGTATTTTTTTTTTTGTTGCAAATTACTTAATTACCCTTTTTTTTTTGTTTTTTTAATGAGGAGTATTACAGAAAATTAGTAATTAATTTCATAATTGGAGCCTTGTTAATTAAATTTTGTGGTCCCTGCTGTGCCTAAATAATAGGAAATAAAGGAATCCTTTTTCTGGTGGAAAGGAAAACCTAACAGTTGGAAAAGGGTTCTAACCTTTAAAACTTGTGCTACAAATACATAAGGTTTTCCACCTAGAGGGAGAGCATATAGTGGCCGAATTTTCAGACTTTTTCCTAGAAAATTTCGCCCACACGAAATTACTATTTCCGGGTATTATTTGGGTAACACAGTAGAAGACCGTGGAACGTTCGGAGATTGTGATCGTGCGGGTGGTGGAGAATTCATTGAGTTGCTGTGGAATTGGAGGCTCACGTGATAAAGGAGTTTTGTTCACGCTTCAAGAGGTAACACGTTTATGCTAGTTGTCTAGATTACATGTGATTTAGATACTGGGATTGCTTCCGCTGCATATAACAATCCATCAATTGGCATCAGAGTCCACTCAAATCTAATTAGATTATAAAAACAAGTAGAGTTGGCTTACTCTCACACAGTCATCCACACGTTTCTGAAATCTATATGATTTCTGGTAGATGAGGCTAATTGTATTTCCAAGCTTTAACTAAAGACATATTTTGGGAGGGGGGGGGGGGGGGGTTTTTGTGGTTGTGTGTGTTGAGGGAGGAAGAACTAAGAAGAGAATAGGAGAGGCCAAGAGACAAGAGTGGAGAAAAGGTATTTATTCATCCTTAATTAATGATACGGGGATGACAAAATCCTGTTAGAAAGCTAATGTTGCATACTTTAACACATATTACGCGACGCGAATCTAAAATAGGTATCCCAAAGCGGGTAAGAAATACCAGCTAGCAAGCTATAATAAAAGAATTCTAGAACCAAACCATATGTTTATAATATAGTTTTCGCTTCAATTTCTTTTTCTGCGTGATTAAAAACGAATGATACTAGTTTCTTTGTTTCAATTTATGTATTTTATTTTCTTTTTAATTTATTTCGAAGAAGGCATCTTTCTATATCTAGTAACATTTTAACTTTACCTTTTCACATAGTATATTTAAGACCATAAGGTTCAAGGATATTTTGGTATGTTACACACTCCCTTTGTTCACTTTTACTTAGTAGGTATACTAAAAATAAATTTTTATTTTTACTTGTCACTTTACGTATATCAAAAGAAGACAATTTTTTTTCTTCATGTTATACCCACAGTATTTATTAGTCATTTCAAATCATTTTCTCAAATCCAATAAAATATGCATCAATTAATATGGGTATAATGGTCAAATTATGCACTTTATTTATTATTTCTTAAGGGGCGTGAAAAGTCAAAACGTGCCAAGTAAAAAGTGAACGGAGGGAGTGCATTTTTAGTTTAAGAATCAAGATTTAATAGTCTCTTATTTTTTTTAAACTTTGAATCTAATCAAACTATGACACATAAATTGAAAAAGGAGCAAATATTTCTTTTATTGAGAATTACAAAACAATCATCTTCTTAAAGTAGTCAATTCTTTCTGATGACGGTAATCAATAGTACTATCAAGGCAGGCGGCAGCTTTATTTCGTGAAAAGAAAATAAAATTGTTCCATAAAGAGAAACAAAATGAATAAGAAATTAAAGAAGGAACAAACACTTTGAAATCAACAATTTTCGTCTTCACCAATTTTTCTTTCTTTTGTTTATGTTTAATAGTTTTTCGCTGTTTTTTATCTTTGTTGTATATATTTCTTTCATTTAAAGGGATGCTGATCATGTGATATGCTACAACTATCTATAGTATAATTTTACCCTACGGTTCCATTATAAGTCTTTTTTCTATTTTTACTTTTCATGAGAAATTGCTTCACTACAGAAATAAAAAATAATAATTATAAAATAAAATAAAATAAAATTAGTTATGAATTTCGTCGCTTGTAGCTAATAATATTTCTTAGTAATCTATCGCTAATTCGTTCGAATTTTTCTGTTTATCAACAGAATTTGTCCGCCGAAATTTCTATATTTTAATAGTGCGTATTCTCGCAAGGACTAGGTAGACTCCAAGCGGTTCATTCACATCAAAATATAAATATATCAAGATGTACATAATATCGTACCTCCACTCCAATTAATACAGTGTCCACACAATTATTGATACACTTTCACTTTTTACACAAAAATAGGACAAAGTATAAATTTCACAAAATTAAAAATTTATTTCTCTAGAAATACTACACCAATGGACAAATCATTTGTCCTAACCTCCTTTAACATGAGGGAGGGTGTCCTTTTTGGTAAATACCTTAGATTCCCTTTGATTGTTAATAAACCAACATCCCGCGACTTTCAGTACATCTTAGACAACTTCAAAGCTATGTTATCAGGATGGAAAACTAATATGCTTTTAATGACGGGATGTACTACCTTAATAAAATCTACCTTGAACACACTACCAAACCACGTAATGCAATACATTAAAATACCTCCCCAAGTTATCCTAAGAATGAATCGATATCAAAGAAACTTCCTATGGGGTACTACTGAACACAAAAAGAAAATCTACTTGATTAATTGGTTAGTAGTACAAAGACCTAAACACCAAGGTGGCCTAGGTATTCAAAATCTAACTACTAAAAATAATGCCTTATTAGGAAACCTAGCTTGGCGTCTGTTTAAAAACCCAAACACCCTTTGGGCATCTCTGCAATTGAATAAGTATAAAAACAGCACAACAGTATCTACCACATCCCTTACATGAAAAAATATACAAGTAGGATGGAAACTTTGCCAACTAGGCTTAGTATGGAATATTGCAAGGGGAACGCATATCAAAAGTTGGAACGAGCCGTGGCTTGGACCTAATATTACCCTTCGAAATTCTATACATGGACCACTAAACTCTCAAGAAATACATGACACACTTAGCCACCACATCATCAACACAAAAATTGAAACAAACTCATTATTCTTTGTATTTCCGGAGACACCCTTTCATTGATTAACCAAATCCATATCCCTACTTTAACTAACTCCCACGCTTTTGATCAGATCATTTGGGGGCTCACTCCCAACGGCCAATTCTCTGTTAAATTGTTATACCATACGCTAGAAAAACCAAAAACAACCTACGCACATGATTATCTTTGGAAATTAAAATTACCTCCAAAAATAATACATTTCCTGTAGCTAGTCTCACATCAAAGATTAGCAACAGCTTCTTACCTATACCATATAAATATCACACAATCCAATACGTGCAATCTTTGTCTTCAGACCACAGAAACAATTAACCACCTACTATTTCAGTGCCCTATCACGACCACTATATGGTCTCAATTGAGGATTGACAATACTTTACATACTTGTGACATCCAACTCCTAGCACCCATCCAAATCATACACCATTTAATCAATAACACTAACAGCCTCCCTTTCAACTTGCCATCACGCATCCTTATCCCACACATAGTATGGCATATTTGGAAGCTAAGGAACCACTATCTTTTTAATAGAAACTCACACCCACCTCCTCCAATACAGCATTTGATAACACAGGCAGTAGAATATCATTACCTTATTCAACAAAATGCACAACCACAAACACGCACACACATGTATGTCAAATGGCATCCACCACCTTTAGGTAAAACTAAACTAAACACCGATGGAGCAGCCAAAACCAATACATCTAACAATGGTACAGGAGGAGTTTTCTGCAATACAATGGGACAGTGTATACTAGGCTTCATGGGTACAATATCTACAGGTAACTCCACCTATATGGAACTAAATGCATTATTACAGGGTTTGCAATTAGCATGGCTTCATCAACTCATACCGCTGGAAGTGAACGTGGATTCTACTGAGGTAATATCAATGCTTAACAAAGATAATTTGCACTACTCATCCACTTTAATGGAATGCAGGTACTTAATCCAGCAGCTGGGTAATCCTCCGATTATCCACACATACAGAGAGCAAAACTACGTTGCACATACTCTCGCTCAAAATGGTTCATCTGCTAATGTCAGAGACTACACAACAATCTTCACCCAGCCACTAACTTTTTTGCTACCACACCTTTTGGCTGATCAGCAAGGCACTGCCTACCCAAGATTGGTGAAGTCTACAAGCACGACAAACTTGTCCTACAGTCCCACCTTTTTGGAAAGAGATCACTCCAACGATCAAGATTTTGATTACAGTTTTTGTAGTGTATTGCAACAAGCTCCTTGTAATGGCACAATTTAAATCAATATAAGTTCGTCTGTTGACAAAAAAAAAAAATACATTACACTTCTATCTAAGATTGGTCTATTCATTTATTGACTTAACTATTTGGTATTTAAAATTTAGTGATAAACATTTTAACCTCGCTTTTTTTTTTTTTTTTTTTGTCTAAATGCAAAGGAAGGAAAGACATTTTGTCCAGTTTTAAAGTTAAAAGGTATATCGTGTCCGTTTATATTGAATCTGACCATCGGACCAGGTTAAATCGGCTCTAAATTAAGTAATATCAGCGGAAATAATACATCAATCATATGTTGAGTAACTTTTGCGATTATCACATAGGAACATATGTAATGTAAATGGTTGTTTCTCATGTCACTTTTATTTCTAGATTATCCTAATCTATACTAACAAAACTTTAATATCATTTCGTGCCACAATATATAGCAAGCCACGGGAGGAAGGTTGGCTACTTCAAATATTTCAGAATACACCCCATTATTTCTATATCAACTACATTTATTATAATAGGTTACATGCTTTATTTTAAAGTACATAATAGGTGCTTGTGATTGTCATAACTCATAACATGATAGTATAAGAATTTACATTGTTAGTGTTAGGTGTTTGTTCAGATTTTCTTACCATAATTGGTTTTCCTATCTTGGAAAGGGCAACATATTTACCATAATTGAGTTTTTCTTTTCCTAGAAGGAAATTATAAATCTCCCATATTTCCCATATTTGGCTAGTCTTTTTCTTGTAGGAAAAGATTTGGACTTCTATAGATTGAGGATCCTTCATTCTCATTCAACAGCATCCACAATGTAGCCATATAGGATTTGAGAGTCGTGTTTACGAGGAGAACTTTACGAGACAAGTGTTAGTGTGTCACTTGTGTTTGCTTCTTCGTGAGGTTGTTCTCTCTATATTTTGTACTCTCTTTTGTATAGTAGATTGCTCATCTCCGGCGTCGATGTAGGTCAGTTGACCGAACCACATTATATGTTTGTGTCTCTTTTGGTATATTTCTCTTTGTTGCATGATTTATCGTTGTTCAAGGTTTGCTTTGCTAGTTTCCGCATGACACCTGATTTTTCCGATCCTAACAGTGGTATCTGAGTCTTGGTTGTTTATCCGGGTTGTTACGGAATGGGGGCGAATATGAGCAAGATGGTATGTTTAAATGGGAGCAATTATAATGTTTGGAGAAGCAAGATGAAAGATTTATTGTTTGTAAAGAAGATGCATCTGCCCGTTTTTTCAACTCATAAACCCGAGAGTGTATCTGATGAAGATTGGGATTTCGAGCACCAACAAGTATGTGGATATATACGATAATGGGTTGAAGATAATGTTCACAACCATATTGTGAACGAGACACATGCAAGATCATTGTGGAAAAAGCTAGAGACTCTTTGTGCTTCAAAAACTGGGAATAACAAGTTGTTCCTGCTAAAGCAATTGATGACCTATAAATAGAAGGAAGGCAGCCCTATCCTTGATCAGATAAACAATTTTTAGGGCGTCCTTGATCAGCTGTCTGGAATGGGAGTTAATTTTGATGATGAGATACAAGGACTTTGGCTTCTTGATACTCTGCCAGACTCTTGGGAAACTCTTCGTGTTTCTTTGACAAATTTAACTTCTGGAGGTAAGGTGACCATGGAATATGCCAAGAGTGGTGTATTGAACGAGGAAGTAAGGAGAAAATCTCAAGGTTCGTCCTCACAAGCAGATATCTTAGTTACAGAAGACCGGGGGAGAGATAGAACAAGAAGCTCCTGGAATAGAGGTAAAAGTAGAAGTAAGTCTAGGTCCAAATACCATAATATTACATGCAACCACTGTGGCAAGGAAGGACATATCAAAAGGTTTTGCCATAAGTTGTTGCAAGACTAGAGAAGGAAAGAAAGTTGAAAACAACGAGAACAATGTTGCTGCTATTATTCGAGATGGCCTTCTTTTTGCTTATGATGAAAACGTCATCAATTTTGTATCTCATGAGACGAGCTGGATAGTAGATTCTGGAGCTACCTTACATGTCACACCAAGAAAAGATTTTTTCTGATCTTATACTCCTATTGATTCCGGAGTGTTAAAGATGGGCAATGCCAGTGAAGTTAAGGTGTTTGGTGTTGGCACAGTTTGTTTGAAAACTAATAATGGTTCAACGTTAGTTCTTCAAGATGTCAAGCATGCTCCATACTTTCCTTTCAATTTGATCTCCGCAGGAAGATTAGATGATGAAGGTTACCATAATGCCCTCTTTAATGGCCAGTGGAAGCTCACCAAGGACTCGTTAGTAGTGGCTCGAGGAGTCAAGTCTAGTCATTTATATGTGACATAGGGCTCTATTTTTAATGACTCCATAAATCTGGTGGAAAGTGACACTTTATCAGAATTGTGGCATAGAAGATTGAGTCATATGAGCGAGAGGGGGATTACGTATTTGGCTAAGAAAAGTTTGCTTTCTGGAGTGAAACAAGAAAAGTTGAAAAGGTGTATCCATTGTTTAGCTGGAAAACAGAAAAGGGTTTCCTTTCATAGCCATCCTCCCTCAAGAAAGCCTGATTTATTGGAGCTAGTACACTCTGATTTTTGTGGTCCTTTTAAAGTAACGTCAAAAGGTGGTGCACTTTACTTTGTGACCTTCATTGATGATCACTCTCGTAAGCTCTGGTGTATCCTTTGAAATCTAAAGATCAAGCACTTGGCGTGTTTAAGGAATTTTAGGCATTAGATGAGAGACAGACGGGGAAGAAATTAAAATGTATTCGCACTGACAATGGTGGTGAATATTGTGGTCCCTTTGATAACTACTGCAAGGAACAAGGAATTTGTCATCAGAAAACTCCGCCAAGACGCCTCAATTGAATGGTTTGGCAGAGGGGATGAATAGACCTCTAGTTGAAACAGTTAGATGCCTGCTTTCCGAGGCTAAACTTTCAAATACATTTTGGGCGGAAGCACTTAACACTGTTGCCTATGTTATCAATTTGTCTCCTGCTGTTGCTTTGGATGGTGATGTCCCAGATAGAGTTTGGTTTGCTAAAGATGTTTCTTATGATCACCTGACAGTTTTTGGGTGTAAAGCTTGTGTGCATGTTCCTAAAGATGAGAGATCGAAACTTGATGTCGAAACTAAACAGTGCATCTTTATCGGTTATGGCCAAAATGAGTTTGGGTATCGTTTTTACAATCCAGTTGACAATAAACTTATTAGAAGTCGTGATGCAATATTCTTTGAAGACCAGACTATTGAAGATATTGACAAAGTTGAGAAGACAGATTCTCAGAGTAATGAGAGCTTAGTTGATATTGATCCAGGTTCTATTGCTAAGGCACCTATTGCACATGAAGGAACCCAAGACAATTATGAAGATAGTGATCAAGATCAAAATGATCATCATGGTGTAGATGTTATGGATACTCCAGTTGATGAAGTTGTGGTTGATCAACAACCAATTCATGCTCAAGTAACTACTTTGAATGCTCCTGAAACCTCTCTTAGAAGATCTACAAGGGAGAAGATAAAATCCATGCGATATCCTCCTAATGAGTATGTACTTTTGACTGACATGGGAGAACTTGAGAGCTATGATGAAGACATGCAAGATACTCACAAAGATCAGTGGATAGAAGTCATGGAAGATGATATGAAGTCACTCCATAAGAATGGCACATATGAGTTAGTGAAATTGCCGAAAGGTAAGAGAGTTTTATCTAACAAATGGATATTCAGAATAAAGCAAGATAACCATACCTCTGCGCCTAGGTACAAGGCAAGGTTAGTTGTTGAAGGTTTTGGCCATAAGAAGGGAGTTGACTTTGATGAAATTTTCTCCCCTGTAGTGAAGATGTCTTCTATTCGTGTGGTTCTAGGCTTAGCGGCAAGTCTAGATTTAGAAGTTGAGCAAATGAATGTCAAGAATGATTTTCTTCATGGTGATTTAAATGAGGAGATTTATATGGAGCAGCCTGAGGACTTCGTAGTTAAGCTAGCAGATAAGCATGCGTTTTGTAGAAAATTGGCAGGCATGAAGCTTGTCAATAGTTCCTCTACTTGAAGACACATTTGGCCCCTTGGCTGGATGGGGAGTTTGTTGGGAATATGCCCATGTTGTCCACCCAAAGGCCCAATGTCCTAATCCTATTCTCTTTTGGTTTCCAATTCCTATTCGGAATTGGATTCGGCTTTTATTCCTATTTTGAGTGGGTTTTGTCTGTAAGGGAAAGCACCACTCATGATCTATAAATAGGACAACCTTGGAGAATTGTTCTATGATCATTGATACAAGTCTTTGAGAGACTTAAGCACATAAGAGTGATTTTTGAGAGAGCTTTCATCAGGAGAGAAGAGAGAAGAAAAGTATTTGTTTTGCTGCAGATTTTATTCCGACCAGCCAACTTCTATTCGTTAACCGTTGGATCGGGCTGAAATTTTGACTGTCACGACCCAAAAACCACTAGTCGTGATGGCACCTAACTCGATCCCCTAGGTATGCCAACTAACAGAAAATACAACCCAAAAGAGATTATAGGAAAATAGTAAAGAATTAGCTGAACATTCACAAATTGACCCAAAAACTGGTAGTACGACTCATGAGCTTCTAAGACTTGGAATTTACAAAGCCGGTACAAATAATTACACGATCTGTTTGAAATTTACATAAACAGATTACCAAAATCTAAGCTACCAAGGACAAGTGACAGCTATATCCGGAATGCACAAGCATCTTCAGAGTCATCACCCGACATCACAAGCAGCTTCGCTCCAAAAATCTGTACGCAATGTACAGAAGTGTAGTATCAGTAAAACCGAACCCATTTACTGGTAAGTATTTTGTCTCACCTCATCGAAGTACTGACGAGGCTTTTTTTGTTAAAAGGTACTTTCTGATAAAACCTGCACCGTAAATCATCAATAAAACTATACTATGATATAATAGAGATGAATACATGAAACAGATACGCAAAGCAATAACCGAGTGTTAATAGAGATCACAGTCTGGCATCTT